CATACGTCAGGTTTGAGACCGAAGCTGCCAAGGATTAATGTGCGGGGAGACAAAAGCCGAGCTCCTTCTGTCTCTGAGCTCCTCGGGGAGTAAAGACGGAGGCTCCGAGGCCCCGAGCAAACACACTGCTGTCACTCAATCACGGTGTCTAAACGCTCGCGGGCGAAATATCCCATAGATACTCAAAATGCTTGTACATATCTACACCTGTACTTGGCTGCGGGAGAGAAACGAACACACAAACAATGATGTTATTGCCCGACATGATCCTGATTATTTGTTAATGACATATCAAACACAGAGAGCAAACAAGGATCCGTGTGCATTGTTTCAGTCATGAATTGTTCTAAAACTTATCGAAGAGAGACGGCTGCTTTTTTGAGGGGGAGTCTGTTTATGGTCTGTTCACATCTGAAAAATCACCAGTAAACAAACAATATTACAGGATGCCAAGGTACTTTTACATCTCTTACCACATACTAATGACAAACGAGTGACTTTGAGCAGATGCACATATTGTGGTCTTCAGCCACAGCCTCCGCTGAGCTGCGATTGGCTGCTTACAGGGTCTCAGGATGCCACTTATTCCTCCACCCCACCCCCAACCCCCCCGCCCCGCACATCTTGGCACACCGCTGGCGATTAAACACGGAAACAGCAACATGATATTCCTACTGCGTGCCAGTCATCCCCCTTTTAATTCACTCTGACTCACTCAACTTGCATGAAATAAGAGCAGAAGTATGAGCAACACGGCTTTTTCAAATTTAATTTTTTTTTTTGTTACATCAGAGACAGTCAGAGATCACCGTCAAACGGAGCGCGGGGATCGATTTACTGCATGGTGGCGGTGTTCTGCTCACATAAGCTTGAATAGATCATCTGAACTCAGAAATGACAAATGGCTTCTTTGCAGCATTGTTTCACTCCTGCCAGCCTAAACATTTTCACAAGCTATATTGGGGAGTACTCTGGGTTTCTGGGGTGGGGGGGTGGGGGGGCTGGGAACAGTTCAGTGTAACAGAGGTCCTCACTTTGGCCTAATGATGTGGCAACATCCATAGATCTCTGCAAAAGGCTTTCCAACAGCTGGAGCAGTAACCTGAACGCTTGGAAGCCCCCCACCCCACACCCCACACACACACCCAGCTCGTTGCTCCGGAGTCGAACCCAAACACCCTGATTGCTGCTTTTCTCCTCAGGTGACAAAAACAGGGCGATGTGACATCAGTTACAAGTCGCTATATTTATTGTTCAAATCAGCCAACCATCCCACTCTGCTGTTGTTGGACAGGAAACACAGCGCCGCGCCAACACAGCCAGGAAGAAGTCTGCTTTCATTCCCCCCCCCCTTCTCCTTCCCTAACACTCCACATCTCAACAAAATGTCCTCTCAACAATTCACTTAATAGTTGGAGGTTTTAATGAAAAAAATGGCTCCTCTGCACCACAGGGCAGCGCCTACATCTCCAGTGGCAGTGTGGAATGCCTCATGCTTTATTTCCCAGATTAACAACTTCACCCCTCATCAAGCGCAGTGTAAACATGGCTCTTGGAGAACCGCAGTGCACACGCCTCCTCCCCCCGCACCGCCCACCCCCCCCCGCCCTTAACAGTTTGTTTTTTCCCCGGTCCCGTCGTATGTTTGGCAGTTTAAGCCTTTAACTAGGCACAGCAAGTCCACTGAGATGAAGCTGGTATACGGTTCATTGCACTGCAACCCCCCCCCCCCGAACCCCTCAGCAAACATTCATCTCCACAGGCCCCCCCACTGCAGGTTGAAATTAATAAATGTTTCCAGTTCGTAGGACTGGGGGGGGAGGGGAGGGGACACTTGGGGGATGTTGAGACTGCAGTAAGAAATACAGTCAGTCTACCTGTCATCAGGTTTTTGAAAATAAATAAATAAATAAAGTAAGAATCTGATATTTTATTGTTTTATAAACTTTATTCCGTCTATCATCTTTACAGTGAGATGAAAAGATCGATACCTCTCTCGTGTCTGTGCAGTAAATATGAAGCTACAGCCAGCAGCTGGTTAGCTTTTAGTAAATTTAGCTAGCTGCTAACTTGGAAACAGCTAGCCTAGCTCTGTTAGCAGCACTAAGTAATTAATATGTTATACCTTTTTATGATTAAAGTAAGACCAAGGTGTAAAAATGAACATTACATTTTTACAGGGGGGGGGATTTTGTGCAAGACTATTTATTGGCTGGGAGCAGTATGCTAAGCTAAGCTAACCGGCTGCCAAAGTCATGACATAATGTAGAGGCTAGTTTCTCACTATAAATCATCTTCCACTACAAATAATCAAGCACACAACACTGGGGCAGAAAGCACGTTTTCACAAAGTTATAATAGTTTATATTTGGACATTTTCACTTCTAGCCACTTGCTGTTACTGTTCAGAGTTAAACCAGATTGCTGGAACTAACAGCTAATTCTGCTCTGTGGGCTAACAGGCTGGTTTCTTTCTTGAGATAATAAACATCTCCAATTTTTGCGATTCATGCAGTTTCAGGCACAAAAACAACTCTTCGTGTTGATCTCCTCATCAGTAACCTGAGGCACCAGATGGTTTGTTAGACAGAACCATCTGCGTAGGCTTCGCTGGGAAACTGTTTGGGAAAGTGCAGCCGCTTTCAAAAATACTTGGTAGGTGATTGGATGAACCATCTGTCTATCACTGTCAATCATGGGATGTGTGCGTCCTTCCCAAATTTTTTTTTTTTTTTCCACGATCAGCGGAGCCAGTTGGTAAATCACACTCTTGCTGAAAGTCAGTCGCTCTTTGCTTTATCACCGATGCTACAGCATGTACGCTAACCTCTTTAGGAACTGTAACTTTTCTCTGTCGTCACACCTAAGACGTCGCTTCAAGGCTGCATTTTTAGTAACTGATGCTTTTACAAATAAAACCACTTTTACAAATGAACCTAGAAGTTAGAGTTTGACTTTTGTATCTACTGGACGGATACGAGTGGTGCCGAACTCCATCTAATTGCTTTAGTAAGTCAGCACAGACCTTAGTTAGTGTTGGATTTTTCATACTTAAATTTTACTGTTCTGGTTCCGTCCTGAAATATTATTTGTAAAAGCTTTTGAATAAACAAATCAGATCGAACACTTTATTTTACAGATTTTGTGTTTCATAGATTTTTGGTAGATAAACTGTACAGTGGCAGAGTGTCACCTCTCTGCCATTTCATTGTTTGGTTTTATTGTTAGCTGCGTTATTTCATCGTGTTTGTGGTTTCCATTAAAAATCCTTTCCCTCATTTCAATGTAAACAATGTAGTGACTCTGAATTGTCAGAGGAAATATATTGAATCCCTAAAACTTTCAGCATTTGATTTAATTTCAAGTAGAAGAAAAACAAAAGACCTTTTTTCTTCTTTTTTTTTTTCTAAATTTAATAAGGATCTTGTTATGTTCATGAAGCTCCATAAATTCCAACTAAAAGTAACTCCAACCTCTACTGGACCACTTCAAGCAAATTTCAAATGACTCTGCTGGTACATATAACACATGCAGGGCTAATAGGGAGGCTGGGCTTCCACTTCAAACACTGGCTTTATGGTAAATGTTTGGCAGAACGCGCGCACACACACACACACACACACACACACACACACAGAGTACAAATTTCTCACATTTAACTCGCGATCCTCCCAACTAACAGCTTACACAGACTTTGAAGTGCGTTCCACTCGTCCATTAATAGGAAACATTATTCAGGCCGAATTTGCAAGGAACTCTTTGCCAGAAAGCTTTACATTGGAAACTCAATCTGAAGAGCACACAGTTTGTCTGATGACTATGCTGCAGCGGACACAAAACCCGGCTCTCTTAAGAAGCTCACACACACACACACACACACACACACACACACACACACACACACACACACACACACACGAACAGACACAACACATTCCCTATACATTTTACGATGTACACAGTCGGACGATACCGTGCAGTGAGAGTGAAATACTACAATTAATCAAGTTATTTACTCTTGTGCATGCCTTCCAGAGAAAGACTTAATGAAGAATCCTATGGTCATTATGGGTGGAGTGAAGCAGTGTAATTTGATTGAGGTTTTATGCTGGTCCAAGGCCCAGTTCCCCATCTGTGATGGTCTGGAAGGAAAACACAGCCCAGACTAATGTGAATGATTTTTCTCACTAGGTTTCAGTGCTAAGCTTTGTTTTTTATTGTATGGAATATGTAGAGTCAGCAGACGACAAGACAGAGACGCGCTGTGCTCATCTGGAAGCTGATATTTGTTTTGTAATGCTTCAGATTTTGCAAACTCCCCATGTTTTCGTTTTTCAAATCACAACCGTTTATTTACTCAGGTAAGATCGAGCTTAACGTTCTTGTGCTTTTTATTTTTCTTCCCTCCTTCCGTAGCATGTGACTGCCACCCCGTTGGAGCAGCAGGAAAGACGTGTAACCAGACAACGGGCCAATGCCCCTGCAAGGACGGAGTGACAGGAATCACCTGTAACCGCTGCGCCAAGGGCTACCAGCAGAGCCGCTCTCCCATCGCTCCCTGCATCAGTAAGAGCCACTTCTACCACCTTTGCACACGATGTCGGCGTTAAATTCATGTTCACAGCACAAGTACAGCTGGTAGAACTGCTTTAGTGAGGGATACTCATCACTAATGAGCTTCATTAGCGATTAACAAATCATTTATATGTGCTTTATAGATCAGTTATAAGCATTAATAAGCAAACTTTTGAGTTGCTGAGTTGTGAAAAAATCCTGTTCAACCAGCATTTTTGCATCATCGTGCAAGAAAATACATGTGAATTGATGTATTAACAACTTATTAACAAGTATAACTGCAGGCCTGATTGATTATTATAAAGATATATAAACGAACCATCAGGTCTGCAGGAACAAAGGTCATTTTTAAATGGTTCCTGACTTTCTAACAAGCCATCAAGATGAATTAATGAGTATCAACAAGGCAGCACTCGTTATACAAGAGACTAATGTAGCATTCACAAGCCAACAGGGTGTTTTGACAATTTGATAATCCAAAAGGTTTTTCTGGATTGTTCTTAATCTTTATTACCTATAAATAAAACCACACGTTGCAATATATAAACTACATAAACACACCTAGTTGGTAAACTGCTGTAGCTGGGAGCTAACCGCTAACACGCTGTTGCTAGTTAGTCACAACAGGTCCCACACCTTCTTTCTATTGTGTTTTGTTTGTTCTGTTTACTTCTCCCCGGCAGTTTGTTCAATATCGTACAGCATTTCGTTCAATAAAAAGTTATTGAGGAGGGAGAATGAAGCTCTCTTGCTAACGGTCAGTTAGCAAACTTGTTCGTTTAGCTTGGTCTTTACCAGGACAAAAAGTTGTACCAGCGTCTCGTTTCTCGTAACTGTCTGCAAAATCATTCCTCTTCTGTGGAGCAGGTTATTCTCTGACAGACGAGGTCAAACAAGAGTAGATGGTGCGACATGGCTAATAAGCTACGAGCTATATGGAAACTCCAACTGGATGTTCCCACAAAGGCCAACTGTGTCAATACGGCTCGCTGCTGGTCAGTGGCGGAAATTCATGGGTCAAAGTTCACCAAAGTTGAACTGAACTGCAAAAAAAAAAAAAATTGTGTGGATTTGTTTTGTATCCACGAGCACATCCGCCAATTGTGGGTGATTCCAGACCTTTAGCTAAATCATAAGTCCAAGCTTTGATACCCAGGCTTCATGGGCAATAACAAATCCTGATAATTACCTCAGGACAAGACCTGAAAAGAACAGGACATGTTGCTATGCATGAATTCATGGCTCACACTCGTCTTCGGGTTATTTTTATACCGCTGTTCCATTATTTTAGATGGATATTTGGCTGTTTAAACCAGAGCCTGGATAAACAGACCATTACTGCTCGCCTAACATGGCCTTGTGAGCCTTCAACACCGTTAACGGTCCGTCTCACAATAAATCCCCAGAACGAGTCCAAGGGAATGATGGCTGATATGTTTATTGGCTGTATCTGCTGCCTGCAGATTCCTGGCCCCTCGGCAATAAACGCCAACGCCTCACAGAAACAGAGATGGGTCACTAGTAGCTGCTTTAGCTAGGAGCATCAAGTAGCTGGCTGGCGTGGACAGATAAGATAACGGTGATGTCTGGGAGGTCGTGTACACACTAACAATTGTCCACTATGTTACTGGGGTTGACATTTCTGATAAAGTCGTGTGGAAATTGGACATGGTCTCTGTGGACCGAGAATCAGAGTGATATGTTTGGCCAGAATCAGCAACAATAATTCAAACCTGTGAACCTGCTGGAACAGGATTTCTTCAATTTTGTAGAGAAGGTAACAAATGTGGTGTAAAAATTGGAGGAAATTGGTTTTTTAAGAGCGGACTGTATTTGGTTTTTCTCATATACTTTTTTTTGAGATAATGTCTTTTGGTTTAGTGCGATATTAAATTTTTGTGATATCTACCTCCCTGCCAGCTCTGACTTTAACGAGAGCGGCGGCCTTGGCTTTCTGCGCCTACAACGTACTACAATCAGATTAATAGTAAACTCGCCTTCTCGTTACACAGTCTCAGCACGGTCTGTGTGTCAAAAATCGACCGTCATTACAACAAGACATCCTATTAAATCCATCCACACGTGTTTTTCATATATGCTCTGAACTTATTCACACACGCTCAGGGGTAAAAAAAAAAAAAATCTGCTCTTAGAAAAGGACATTGAGCTCCTGTATTTTCTCGTAGGTGTAACCATCACATGATCTATAGTCACTGCAATATGATGATGATGATGATGATGTGAAACATGCATTTATTCCTCTTTGTCACAGAGATCCCAGTTGCATCTCCTACAGCAACTTACACCAGCTACGAGGAGCCGTCAGGTGAGTAAAAAACACATTTCTATGACCCTTCCTGTTTTCATGCTCTAGTGGTATTGCTCTTTAATTTTTATTTCTATAATGTTATTAAATCAATGTGGAAGGGATTTCTACATACAGATTAACTAAATTAACCGTTCCCTCGTGTAATTATAAATATATCCGCTTAACCTTATATGTAATTATGTGTGTATTTCTAGCACATGCATGTTTTTCCGTCTCTTCCTTGTATCACTCGTCAAACTAAACGCACACCAGTGAGGTCTGACTGCCGCTGATGTGAACTCCAGATATTTTTCCAGTGCTCCCTGTGGCCTCGTTGCCTGTATTCCCAGCCTGCCCTGCAGCCTCCCAAGGGTTTCAGCCCTAATCTGATTACATGCTTCATTTGCACCAGTTTGTATTTCAATCAAGGCCGGTCGCACCAGCAGCGAAGCCCCGTCGGACCCTGTTGTTCATGTGCTCTGACGAGGGTCTCCGTATCAGACTGCTGACATTTAGAAGATGTGCCACAGCCACATTTACCTGCAGGTTAAAAACAATTTTCAGGGACTGTCTTTAAAGGCTTTTCCCTAAACGTAACTGGGAGCAAACAGGCCGTAAAGCTGCTGCCCGAGCCGCTGATTTGTCCATTCACAGCATATCGCTTTGTTTTACCATGATACTGGTTTGTGTGAACAGGCTGAGTCACCTCTGATCATCGATCAGCGTCTGACGAGAGTGGCGCCACTGACTTCACCGAGCTTTGTTGTGAGTCCCACTTTTATACTATAGTGGCTGCCGAGGCTGTGAGGAGCTTGGACTCCTGTCAGGAACTCCACACAGACACCACCCTCCAAATTAGGAGCAGTGTGGTCCCCGGGGACCCCGCAGAATGAACGTGGCACTGCTGCAGCGACGCACAAAGGGGGCGTTTGTCCTCGCAGCAGGAGATTGGACCTTAATGAGAGCTGTGGGTGTAACAGCCCACTGCGCCGATTGCGCTAAGGGGCTAATGGGCAACGTCAGCTATCAAAGGGAGGTATGATGAAGGCCCCCAGGGGCCAGCGGGAGATAAAGAGCCCCCCCCCCTCCTCCTCCTGCCCTCACCACTTCATTTACATGGAAATCAGGCGTGCTTGATATGGACTCGTCAAATTCATTTACTTTGGGATTTCCTCTTTTCTTATTTCTCCCGCCGCCGCAAAAAAGCAGCAGCCGGGCATTCCAGCAGAAATGCTTTCTCTACATACATGAATTCGATCCTCATCCCACACCGCTCTTTTTTTTTTTTTTTTTTTTTTTTTTTTTTTTTTTGAGAGGGAGGAGAGGGGCGTTTTTTTCTTCCTCCATCATTACCCAGGCAACCTCATTCACACAGAGTATAATGGGGAAGAAAGGGGAAGACTGGACAGAGGGCTGGAAGAAATAATGAAGTTTGTCCATATTCAGGCAAGCTGAAAGGTCCCCCCTCTCTCTCAACTGCCCCCTCCTTTCTCTTCAGACTGCCCAGCCCAGCTTTCCCACCCCCCTAGAAAAGAGCACAAGGCTTATTGCTCTGGGAGAGGCGGAGTGGGAGGGGGGGTGAGGGTGGGGGTGGGGGGGGCAACACTCGGAGATGATCTGGTTCCAATTTGTGTCAGTGTGGAAAAGTGGAGGGAACAAATGATTTCAATTTTCAGGTTGGCCTCTGGTCCCACCACCGGCTGCCTCATTACAAAAGGTACCTGGCGCAGCGACAGCAGCGGCCATCGATAAAGCCCTTCGGCATGCTAACCCAGGTACACTGTAAAAGCAGTACTGCTCAGACATTAATCATAAGTCTGAGAGCTTCTTTCTCAGGGTGGTGGTAGTGGGGTGGATTGGGGGCACAGAACATTTAGCCTCGACCTGCATTAGAGTATTCACTCTCTCGCCTCATGCGGCTGAGATGCTGCTAAAAGGTCCCCCTGCTAATTTTGGGCAGGTCACTAGCTAATTCTCTCCCCCCCCCCTTCCTCGTGACCCCTCTTTTGTGCGAGAGTGACCTCAGAGATCTCACACACAATGCATGCCAGGACACTGACGAGGCAGCAGGCAGGCTGCAGTGGAAAAGTTGGGAGTGTGTTGACAGACACAGGAGGATCTGTGTAAGCTTTAATCCGTTTCACAGTGGCACTTTGAAGGAATCTTTAAGACCCCGGGGGCACAAATACAATACAACAATACCACATGTGAAGCCCGTCCGGCTGAATCCGCACTTAATGTGTCATAAGAAGCGTTTCACACAGGGTGAAATCTGCAGCTAAACTCTCCATCTCTCTTTCCCTCTCACCTTTTTCTCTCCCCAGATTGTGAATCTCACTGTAAAGCTTCCAAGGGAAAGATGAAGATCACCATGAAGAAGTACTGTAAAAAAGACTACGGTGAGTGAGTCCAATACGCAGGAATGTGTGCTGCCAGACGTCAGCCAGCAGTCAAGAGGTCAGATGTCTCAATTAATCAGATGGCGAGCGCGGCCAATCCACACCCTGCTGCTGCTGCTGCTGCTGCTGCTGCTCTCCGACTTTCAGCGATCGTTTACTCGCACAGGCCTCAGGTCACGTCCACTAATGCGGATTAATATGAAAACATATCTTTCCTCTCTGTGACGCGAGCTTCCAGGCACACTAAAGCTGACGGTTCCCACCTTTGAAAAACAGAAGGTTTTCAGAAACGCTCTCCAGAGTGGATCGGTTTTTGACGCGCGGACACGGAAAACTGAGCCTTTTTCAAAATGTGCAACCGACCGTCGGCCAATATTCTGTCACTTATAAGTGATCCGTGCGAGTGCTGACGCAGCTGATTTGATCCCACAGTACAGGTGTTTCAGTGACATACCTTTGCTTTTCTGTTGTCGAGCAACTGCACGAGCAATTACACGGCGGTTCAGTTGAGGGTCTTAATGTAAATCCCCAGGAATTACATTTAGAATTTCACAATAAAACACCTGGGACCAAGCAAGGAATATTTGTCAAAACGGTCTATAAATTCAGCCCCTCTCCTCTCCAGATGTTTGTTGTAAGGAGTGCGGTTGTTGGCCGGCTGAAAGTACAGGGAGAGAACATTTTCACACTACTGTATACAGCCTTTATTTAACTGTTCGATATTTTGAAGCAGCACCGGTTGGGGTTTTCTCTCAAAATTCTGCTGGCAACTCAAGCAAGCTGATTTCCTGAGGGCGATGTTCAAAACTAACCTGAGCATGAAGAGTTAGAATTTGTGAGAGGAGCTCACGCTTAAACCTCAGAGAGAGATTCATCGTTTATCCACTAAACCCTGAACGAATTCCCCTGAAACAGTTAAAAATCTGATCGGTTTCAACCTCGGCTGGTTCACCGGGGTTCAGGGGGAAAAGACGGTACCTCAGCCTGACCTTTTCTATGCATTCTTTCAGGCACGTCTCCTGATTGTGTAACCGGGACAACAGGTGGGAGACAATGACAGTTATTTCAGAACTTACTCCCCAAAATTTCACAAACCCAAAAAAAAAAAACAAAAAAAAACGAAGAGAACACTTCAAATAAATCATGAGAAGCAGCAGCGCTCAGAGAGCTCAGACCTCCGCCGAGGCCAATGTCAAACGACATACACCAGACTCCAGAGGAAAAAAATTAAATAAAAATTCATAGGAAATGATCCGGATCTGCTCCAAAAATTAATGGGTTCCTCCTTGGCCAATGCCCCACCCCTCCACCAAGTTCAGACCAAATCGGTTCTGTGCTTTTTGTGTCATCGTGCGGACAAACGAACACACACACGGGGTGAAAACAACGTCCTCAGCAGAGGTAATAAAACCTGGTTATTGATTCTTTCGTTGACGCTTATTCTCCCACCAATTAGGACACACACCCTCAATGAATGCACCGTCCCAAGATTGACTCATTTGAGCACACAACTAATTTTTTAACTCCTCAATTGTGTTGAGGACGGCCTCTTCTCTCGCCCTGCAGCACCGGCCGTAAAACTTACAAGTACTGTAGACCTGCACAAGAAGAAGAACAACAACGCGCTGCAGGAGTATGCACGAGTGTGCTTTGTCCAGCGCCGTCCGCCTCAGGCATCTGGATAAAGTTTCATCCATTTTAGCGCAACTCCCAAAACCGACGAGAGAAGCCAAAACACACAGCAATCACATTACGTTTCATTATCCCCACGAATCCACACAGAACAAGAGGTGCAGCTGAGATACATCCGACCGTGTTGCGCCGGGTAAATAAATATCACGTTACGGGGTCTGAAACGACGTATTAAGACGTTGCGTCGATCAAATCAACAACTTGGAAGACGGAGAGGAAATTTGATGTTTTGATGGATCAGTGATTAATGATACAGGGTCCATTATCTGTCAACCACAAACCACAACAATAGAAGAGTAAATTCCAACACAGGGGGATATAAGTATGTAACAGAGGCAGGGGGGGAGAACACGTTTTTTTACCCTACTGTGTAGCTGCACACTCATCCACATGGCAAACGATCCGCTCCACTCTTTGGATTTTCTGCACCATTAATCATCGCAATAAAATGGTTTATCTGTTATCGATGGATCCACATATGTAAACCACAGAGACCCAAAAAGAAGAAGAAGAAAAAAAAAAAAAAAAAGCCTTTGAGGCAGATCCAATGTTCCCCATGATGCACTCTGCTCTCAGCCAAGTCTTGGCAAGGATTGTATCCACTAAAAAGACAATAAGAGCGCGCCTCTGGAGACCCAACCTACATTTGTCTTTGTTAAACTATTACAAATTCCTTGTCATTTTCAAAGCTGCATCATTAGTAACTTGTAAAACATTTGTGTCGTATAGATTTTCATTGGACAGTTAATGTTAAAGTTGTCCTTTGACCGATTGTGCGAAACCGTCATCGCTATCTGTTCAGCTCCTCTCAGGTCGATCTCTCTCACTCGAGATCATCATCAGTGAAACCTCATCCACTGTCTGTCAGGAAACTCGCTTCATATACTTTCAAAACAGCATCCGACAGAAAAAAAAAAAATGGCCGAACATATTTTACTCTCCCTCACGGTCGAGTCGACGGTAATTCAGGCCATTTGTTGCATTTTGCCTGGGGGGGGGGGGGGCAAACGTAGCCATTATTCATATTTCCATTGACTTAAATCTTAATCGTCAGAGCGGAGACGGACCCTGCGTCTATAAATCAGCCGGGCTGATCCGAGCAAAGCGGGCGCTTCCTGTTGGTTTCCTCTGAAGTTCCTCTAAAAAGTCTGGAAGCAGATGATCCGGCCTGAGCCGAGGCAGTATGGCAGACATCATCGCTTAGCATGCGTTCCCCTTTGCCTCGGTCTAATTCATTTCTCAGGCCTGTCGCCTTGCTTTTGTGGGGGCTTCAGAGTCTCTGCTCTGTTCTTTTTTTTTTTTTTGGGGGGGGGGGGGGCCACAACCCCCCCATGTGTGAGTGGTGATGCAGGGCCCCTCCCCAGGGGTCACGGGAAGGGGCCCTCTGTTTAAACACAGTTGTGCGCTCTGCCGGCACCGAGCATTCCTCGGGGCACAAACAGGTGGTAAATTAGGCAGACGGTGACGGATTGCCACCCCCGGAGAGAAAGAAATATGTTTTGTTTATTCAATTTTTGTTTTTCATCGGCGCCGTAGCTACGGAGACGGCGGACACAAAGGGATTATATTCTCGCCTCAAACCCTCCTCTGCACACACGTACCCTCCCTCTCCCTGCCACCAGGAGGACAATGAATCAAAGGGCCGCGTGTTTACCGACGCTCCGGGGTAATGCTCAAAGGCAGGACGACCCCCCAACCACCCCCATCCACCCCCCCCACCCACCCTCTCTCTTAGCCTCCCGGCCACCCCTCTGTGCCTCTACCCGCAAAGGGTAGCAGGTCCCCTGATCATTCACTCAGCTGATAACCAGAGGGGACAGGGGCCTCAGTGTGGTAATTAAGCAAGCTCTAATTTCATTAGCCCCTCGCTTGTTGGTGGCATGCAGTGTCAAGCCGCAGCACACTGCCCAAAGAAGATAAACCCAGTGGGAAGTTTGGCTGTGAGGGAGGGCTCAGCTGGCAGCCATTGTGCAAGTGCGGGATCATCTAACACTTATCTCTCCCCTTCCGCCGCCTGTCTCACCAAAACAGTGTGCGCTATTTCGTAACAGATTGTTTGACCCCGCGCTCTCAGTCTCTCTCCCCGTGTCTGTTTCTGATCCAACCAATGGGCAGAAGGTGTGTGTGTGTGTGTGTGTTTAAAAACACTGAGAACACACTTGAGAGAGAAAGAGACACTGACACGGAGACCGGGCCTGGATGCCGTAACCGAGTCCCCTCGGCCCGGAGAGGGAGAGCGCTATCTCCGCTGGATTCTCACGCTGCGGAGTTGGATGGAGCTCTGGGAGCAGAACCCGGATAGCTCATGAGGTCGGAAACACATCCTGATTCTCCTGGAACTTTTTCTGTGGCTGGGAAGACAAACAGTGGCCCCTCCTTCTTCACCCACCCCCCTCCTCACACACCCTTTATGTGTCTGGATGAAGGAGAGAGGGCTGCATTGAATGGCAGGGCTGTGAGAGCTCGCTCTACTCAGCCCAACAAACCTTCTTTCTTCTGAAATTGTGTGCAATTTGCTCACGCCATGCATTGACACACATACTCAAACACCCCGCTCCTCCGGTTCTCCTCATTCTTGGCAGTAAAAGGGGACGACTGATGAACACCAAAAGTGATCATGTTCAGCCAGAAAGGCAAAGAAAAAGGCTAACCTGCACAGATATCAGAATAAAATAAGGAATTAAAGGAGGAATTACTGTTTGGATTTTTATTAATTCAAATTATTTTGTTTACTTGCAAACACACGCCCTGGCACTTTATGATGCTTGTGTGCACAACAAAAACCACAGGGACTGGTTCAGCAATAAATGATTCATATATAGATAAATGGACAAATATAAAAATTTGTTTCCCATCATCTAATCCAATCGTCTCCAGATTAAATTACTTCTCACAATTGTAACTGAACCCTCCCTCCCCCTCCTCCTCCTCCTCCCTGCACACCTTCATGTTAATTCCACATTCCTGGCTAAACCCACGGGGGGTAACGCACTTCACTTCAAGCACAGATTAACTCTGTCGCCTTTGAGCTGTTTACCTCTTGTTCCAATCAATGTGACGAAGTAATGGTTGCTTTGTTGGACGGAGAATCCATGCAGGGGAGCTTCTGCAAAAGGAAGCTTTACTCATTTCCTGATATTAAAATATCTGCCACAAGTGGTGTTCCAATAGTTCCCAGGTTCAGCGCGGTTTTAGCCCGAGGTTGTCAATGTTCAGACTCCACTTTAGCACCTGATTAAGCAATTGGAAAGGATCTGTTTCAGAAGTTATATTGTTAGCAGATGTGGCATTTTTCTATAAAACTTTTTCTTTTGGCCGTTTATTTTTTTGCAAAAAAGAAAAAAGAAAAAGAAAAATAACGCTGCCTGGCCACCTGAAGGAAAAGCTTTTCTCTGCTCTTCAGATGTTCTCCGCCAGAAAGCTTTTGTGTTCGCGAGGGGAGTGCTATGACAACCGTTGCCGTAATAGGGCGTGTGCTCAGGAGCGCGAGGAAAAGGTCATAGGTCAGAGATGAGGGGAGCCATTTCTGGGTCACGTTCAAACAGCAGCTTTTATTGGACGTTTTATACGATGTTGTATAAAAGTGTTGGCATCTGTCTGCTGCCTCGCACAGATGCCAACACTGGAATAAAGAGGCTGTTACAGTTTATGACAGCGGTTCCCGAACCTTGTCTGATGTACGCTGGCGATGAAGTCACGTACCCCTTTATCAACACTGTCGAATCCAAGTGTGGTCATTTGCATTTATTTTAAAATGGATGTTTCTAAACACAAGGACATTTTTTCACCCCACAGATCCGTCAGTGTTCGAGCGGGTTTCGTACCGGTGCCACTTGGAGTAGCAGAAGATGAGAGTTGTAGCACTTCGAAAAGTATTTTTAACCCTTTATCCATTACTGTTGCCGATTTAAACCGTTTATCAACTACTTTCTTACTTTACCTTTATTACCCACGATCCTCTATTTGCAAAGTCTATCGTCTTTCAGCTAGAAACCAGAGGTGGGCGACTTGAGTCACACGACTTCAAAAATCTGAGGACTTGAGACTGAGATAAAAGACTCGACTTTACTCTGACTTGGTTTTCATGACGTCAGATTGATTGATTGATTGAAAAGTTACATTTTGCTATTGAAACATAACTTTGCAACCTACTAGGATGCAGCAGACCAGCAGAGGCCAACACAAAAGACTAAAACTTGCACTGCAGGAGAACAGAGCACAACACAGGTTCTACATTGAGATGTACAGCACAGCAACAGTAAGAATTAGACCGGAAACTAGAAGAGCAAATCCCTCCTCCAAGGCCGAACAAGCCTCGTCCTCCTCGGTCTATGACCCACGTCTCCACCGAGTCAGGAGCAAATCAGTTCAGTACTTTTTAGTGCTGAAAATTTAACAGACACGACAACTACTGTATTTAGGTTGCTCTGATCAGTCGCTAACTCTTTGCTCAGGTGTACAAATACAGGGGGCACAGCACGTATCTCTGAGTAGGAATCACTAGACGTCATAAAGGTGATTTAACCCTGGCTTCTCTCTTCTCCCCCACCCAGCTGTCCAAGTGCACGTCCTGAAGGGAGACAAAGCCGGCGAGTGGTGGAAGTTCACCGTCAACATCATTTCCGTCTACAAACAAGGTGAGCACCGCATCCGCCGCGGGGACCAGCTGCTGTGGGTGCGCGCGAAGGACGTGGCCTGCAAATGCCCCAAGATCAAGCCCGGGAGGAAGTACCTGCTCCTGGGCACGGACGACGACTCCCCCGGGCAGAGCGGCGTGGTGGCGGACAAGGGGAGCCTGCTCATCCCCTGGAAGGACCTGTGGGGCCGCCGGCTGAGGAAGTTCCAGCAGCGCGACAAGAGGGGAAAGTGCTAAAAGTAGCGGGGAGAGAATAAGAGAGAGATTGAGGGGGAGGTGGAGGCAAAACAACACCTCTACTGGGACTGAATGCGAGGAAGAGGAGAGGATGGATGGATGAATAAAAATAAATAAATAAATAAATAAACTGGAAGAATAAAAGATAGAGAGACACAGGTGAAAAGTAGGAGAGATGGGGGAACGACTGAGTGCTGCTGCTCTGAGTTGGAGCGAAGAGATTAGTGTTTTTTGTTTGTTTTTCTTTTTAGGAACTTTTGTGAAGGAGCTCATTCTACAGTTTTTCTGTTCGTCTTTCAAGGTTTGTTTTGTCGTGTAATTGCAGAGTTTGCACCTAATGTTACAGATATGTCACATCCTGACTATTTTACCCATGATGCTGTTGTTTTTTCTTTTGTTTTTTAAAAAGTCCCTTCAGTTGTTTTTAAAGAGCAATGCATCTACTGTATCACCCCTTCTGTGTCTTCAGAGGATCTATGTCCAGTTCAAAAGGCTGCTCTTGCAACCTGCCAAACTTTGAAGAAACTTTTTTTCTCAACAGCTGGAAGCGAAAACAAAAAAAAAAAAAAAAAAAAGAAATTGTGAAATTGTGAAATTGTTTATAACTGCGGTGAGAGTGCCATCCTGCCCGAGAGCTCCCTGCTCGTATGTGAGTGTTACCTCAGTGTTGTGGGAACAAAACGCCATAATGATCCTCTCCTCATTCTGTATAATGATCTCAGTACATGCGAGTCTTTGTTTCGGCGCTTATCGATATATATCCGCAGTTATGTTGTGGTTGTGACCTCTGCAATGTAAAGTAACCATACGTGCATACATAGACATTTATTTTTTAGTAGACGGTGCCGTAGCATCAGCTAGATGTAGAGTAGACGTGTCAACCATGCACTTATTTTTACTAGTCAAACCCTTTAGAACATATGAGATATGTTCACGATTATTATTATTTTTATTTTTTATTTTTTAGAGTGGCATCCAAAAAGAAAAGAATCCCATACTGAACCATATGATGCAAAAAGCTGCCTCACTGATGACTTGCTCTGTGTGGGCCGATGTGTCTGATTGACAGCGACAGTCCTGTTGAAAACGTGCAGAAGACAGTGTTGATTCTCCAGGAGACGTGAGGCGGATGTCACCGAACATCTGCAAAGTGAGAGCGCTGATTGATTCTCACTTCGTTCATTTAAAAAAACTAAGAAAATTTAAAAAAATAAAATAGAAAGAAAGAAAAGAGAGAGAGAGAGAGAGAATATCGACCTATCAAGCAATCCTCATACCACTGACATACTGCATGCTCACTATTTACTGTAGCTGACTGATAGCTAACAATGATTGTGAATTATGTACACATTTAATTTGTATACAGTACTCAGTGTTGTGGGAAAATAACCTGTGGAGTGATGAGATATCACAGATGTTTTATTGTGCAGTGCGTTCAGCACGCCGCGTGTTCAAACGTCCGTCACCTCAACGCCACTTTTTGACGACTGGATTCCATTATCAAGACTTGGTACTCGACAAAAAGGCATGAGCGATTGTCTACATGTTATATAGCTGTATAGTATTACTTCTTCTTTTTTTTTTTTTTTGTTGTTGTTTTGTTAAACATTAACTAGATCTATCTCCATGTGAACTTAACCAGAGTTTTAAATACTAGAGGCTTAATAAATGGAAAAGACAGTCTCACACACTGAGACTTTTGAGTTTACACATACACAAAAAACAGACAGTACACTAACACGTATGCAGGGCCACACCTAATAAGACACACAGGTACACCTCAGTACTCTGTGCATCATATACTGTATGCATTTGAAAATTTACAACGTGCTAATAAAGTCTCTGCCAACACATCTGCACCGACGCATTTCAACCTGTTTTGCAGCCGTTTGTAATAAAAGGTACTCGCCACCAGACTCCCGCTCTCCATAAATATTATATCTGAATAATTATCTGCTCATGTTTATACATTGGCTTGTAAATGATGTTTAGCAGTGTCCATTGCAAATGGTTGTGTAATGTCTTGTAATACTAATATATTATGTTTATCACAAATGAATATATTTAATGACACATGAAACAATGTGGCTTTTGTGGTTTTTATTTTTGACCTTTTATTTTTTACTTTTTGCATTGAATTGTAGATGGCTGTAATGAAAAGTATTGATACGTGTCTGGCTATTGAACAGCCTGATAGAACTGAAAATTAATTCATCTGAAATAAACTGTGTAAAAACTCAGGATGATCCCAGCTGAAATGACATTTTTAGTTCTTTTCATCATCAAAAAGTGTCTTTTTTCTCTCCCCCCCCCGATAACACCGCAACACACAGCGTACGACCAATGTGCTGCAACACATTACGTCACTTCTTCTCTCAGTTATTGTGAGTAAATTTATCCTGTAACATTTATACAAAACACAAGAAGCGACAACAAAATTATAACAACTCAAATAACGACTTGACGATAAACTACTGGGGAACAGAAAATGTAGTTTAGAGTTTGATACAAACACACTTTACTGAGGTTTAACTGCACGACATACGTTTTAAGAAACAGCCATTAATAAATACAACAAATCACACGACCATTTTTACAATAAAGAGGCAAAAAAAAGCAGAAAATAACTTTAAAAAAACAGATTTACTGGATAATTTAAAAGAAATACTTTAATTTAGTTCCCAAGTCCCTGTGCTTCTTCCTGTGTATATATACAGACCCATAAGTATTTTACAGATACCATATATAGAGAATATTGAAAGTGTAATTACAGGTTGTGATTTAAAACGTCACATTTCCTCTGTTTAAATGAAAGTGCAGGAGTGCAACTGATAAACAAAGCTCAGTGGGATGCAACACTGTGGAAAAACAACTTGTGTTTTTGTGAATCCTTAAGAAAAACAAAACTTCTTCATGAATCCACTGTAATTATTGACATTTACTGAAGCAAAGCGTTTGAAGGGACATAAAAACTGTGAAGCGTTAGAAGTAAATGAATTAAAACGCTGGCTGCTGCCAAAGAACTTCAACCATGCCCTGCAGCACAGGTCATCATTTGTGTTGGATCCTGTGCCTCTATAAACTTCACAGACAATAAGGTCTGGCTGTAAGATTGCTATAATGCAGGCATATTACTAAAAGGGTGATATCACCAACATGTCTAATCCAAACCGCAGATGTTATTGTTGTAGCTGCGAGGTTCTGGCATCAGTGGAAAACCCCTTAACTTATTCCTCTGGGAGTTTTACGCAAAAACACACAATTCTGAACCTTCTCCAAATGAGAGTCCATCTGTCTTGGCTCGTGCTCGGAGTATTGATATACTGCTCCTGCAATGCCCAGTGCAAAATGCTCCAGAGGGGCCAACCAATTATACAGTCACTGCTGAAAGTTCAAGCTGCGTTCTCCATTAATGTAAGGCCACCAGGATTACCAGCCATAAAACCACTCCGAGCCCCGGCGGATGGAGGAGGAGGAGGAGGAGAGAGAGAGAGAGCGAGCGAGGGATGGAGAGGTCTGAGGATGAGTGTGTTTGTGTTGTGACAGGTATGTTTAAAAACTCACTTCAAGCTTATTAAGGCCGAGCGTTGCGTAAGATCACGGTGGGACTGTGATTTCTCTCATGAGCCCGGGGCGGGACGGGAGAGTTGAAAAGAGATCTGGGTGTGTGTGAACTTCCCTCTCAGTGTGCAAAAAGATGAAGCTGGAACAACAAACACAGACGTGATATGAACAAAAGTCTTTTTGGCATTCACATTAGACGGAGCGGACTGAACGCGGAGGGTCAGGTTTCCATCAGCAGCACCAACTTGGAACTTTCCACACATATAAACCCCCCCCCACCCAGCAACACCACCACCACCAGTCCCTCCGCTGTCATTGTCTCCCTGCTAACGGCGAGAGTCCTCCTCGGAAAACAAAGTCAGGCAGGTCAGCGCTGATGATGCGACACACTAGAGGTCGTCCTGGCTTTAGAGGCAGGGCGGCCCTCTGCCCTCCGGTTGTACGCTGCGCTGACAGCTGCCAGGAAAATGGAAACAGCAAGTGGTTGAATGAAGCGTTCTATACGTCTGCTGATGAGGACTGGGTGGAAAAAAAGACCCTGATTTGAACCTATAAAACCATTTGGAGGATTTGAATTTATTGCCTTTTCTTTATTGTTCCTTGCCCCCGTTGTTTTTCCCTGAAGGTTAAAGCGGTAAGCATCTGTGATCACACCGGGGATGATGCAAACCTCCACGCATCTAGCTGTTTTAATTCTGCTTACAGTATCGCTCCGAGGAACCTCAGACCCAAGCGGCCTCGAATCAGTGAACCAACTCAGAAAGTGTTCAAAAGCATGACTCACACAAGTCTAGTGAGGTTGGTTTTTTTTTTTGCTGACATTCATCCGAACGTCTGACGAATCTCAAGCTCCTAAAAAACAACCAAAAACAAACTCGGAACAGGACAGGAAGCGTTTACCAGCTGCCTGATCCTGCTCACACGTCCTCAACAACAAGCCTGACAGCACGGTCCTTAAGAAAAGAGAGAAAAGGTAGCATCCACACTGTAAAATAACAATCTAATTAGAAAGTAATTACAGCGTATTGACGAGGCAGTCATTAACTTCAGAGTAAATGAACAGTGTTTTAATGACTATGATTGAGTTTTTATTACATGGGAGGGAGGGAGAAAACAAATTATTGAGCACTACCCAAATGAGTCTGTGTAGGGAGCTGAGAGGCCTGTGATACTTAAGTGGATTAGTTGTTTGGGGAGAAGGAGGAACACCGGAGAGGATCACAGAGACTGATTTGCATCACCCAGCGGCTCTGGGCCTTCAGCGCCACCATTTCTAATCTCTATTCACAGATGAGCCCTGCGCCTGAGGGGGAAGCGACCGTCGAGGAAGGACTTTAATTTAACGTCAGCGCCACATCTCATTCCGCCGAGTCCCGTCAGATTTAACGTCTGATATTCATGCATGAGATTCTCCACGACCACCGCTTTAAGTGGGGGAAAACTGTATGCAATCATCGGCCTTTTGTTTTTCCTGAAACCCACTTGGCCTCCTGCTCCTTCTTCTTAACCCTCCGTAAAAAAATAAAACCCAGAGCTGCGCCACAGATGCCTGTTTTGTTTGCTCCCGAGCACCGAACTAAACAGAGAACAATACAACACTGTGTTTTCTCAGCTGACTAAATGTATTTCCAAGCCCAGTTTACTTTGCTTCTCTGGAGGATGAGAAAACATACATCATATAACACAGAGAAATAAATCATCTGTCAAATACGATCAAATCGAACTTCAGGAATTTGGCTTGACCTCCTTCCGTCCTGAATCCGTTTCACTTGTCACCTATTTGACTGCAATCCATGCACAACACAACCGGGTGGCGTGCTGTGTCGAGCGCCATCTTCCACACGGCGATGACCACTCTCCTTTTGCTTCCCAGGCTTCATTCAGTCGGGGCTCCAGCAGAGTGGGGGGGGGGGGACTCTGTGAAACAAAGACTGAAGCACCTCTGGAGATGGAAGGAGGGCTTAAAGAGGTACTTGATATCAGCCCACTGTGTGACCACCACACACACACACACACTAACACACACACTAACACACACTACAAAAAAATATATGTGCACACACATGCACAGACACACAACTCAGACTCCAAATGTGGTAAACCCTCTGCTTTTGACGCAAACACCTTTAAAACCACCACCAGCACTTCCTCCTCCTCCCAACCCCCCCACCCACCCTTCACTCACTCATTCACTCTCTCCCAAACTGCCTCTCCATTTTTCTCTGTCTTTCAATGCACATGGTTCAAAAGCTGTATTTCTGGCTTACTAGATTGGAGCACAAAGGCTCTTCTTATGCATCCTGGAGAAGCCCCACTAGAGAGGCCTCCATCCCATCCTGGATAGGAGAGCGCACACAGACAGAGTTAGTCCTCTTTTTTTTTATTTTTTCTCATTACCATTTCCATACAGGATTAAGCCACTTGGCTTTTGGATGGCATGTACGATATTTTTCACCCCCCCCCTCCCCTGCTGCATTCTGAAGATCTCAGAGTTAAATGATGGGTGAGACAATCAGCTCATAAACCGGCTCTTTTTAATGTCTATTCACACACAGTGCCGGGGCGCAGACGATGCCAGAGAGGATGGATCTCATTGGAGGAGTCTGCGCCATGAGGACAAGTCCTTCAGTCGCCTCATGAGAGCACACAGCCCCCCCACACCCCCCCACCCCACCCACGGTTTTAATGCGGACTAAGGGAGGAAGTTACAGCTGAACACACTAAAAATCAATCTGACATTTATAAGCCATTTAAATGTGACTTCAAAGTTACAGTCCTCAAGATTTTCATTAAACCAAACCCGGCGACAGATTCAGAGGAAATGGGAGTAAAATCCAGCGATATTGGTGGAAACTTTTATCTCACTGGTATCAGCCTCTTCCAACACTGTGTCAGAGCTGTGCTAATATTACTGCCAATGCATCTCCAACTGCTGCTGCTGCTGCTGCTGCTGCAGTGAACATTCAACTGCCCAAACACAGGGTGGCTTTTATTGTGAAGAGATCACAGGAAATGCAATGCTTTTGTCAATGAGGACAGAAATCTGAAGGATCGCAGCTTTTAACGGTGATTTAAGATCAGCTGAGATGATAACCCATCAGTAACAAGAAAACACACACAATCATATTTTTTAGACTCAAACATAGATTTCAGTATCGGCCTCAAAATCCAGATTCCGTCAGATGAACTACAGAACTCAAATTGATTGTTTTTGCTTTGATATTTATGTGAAAAGTTATGATTAATGTTCCTCCTCCTCCTCCCTGCTTGGCTGTATCTCCCCTCCCCCTCCCCTCCCTCTCTCTCTCCCCCACTCTCCCTTCCTTCTCATCCGAATACATTAATATCTGAAAGTGTTGGCTCAGACCAAAAATACTCATGGACTAAACAAAGTGCAGAGTGACTTCAGGGTCTGGGATCTTCAAATAAACCCTGCCTGGGTGTCATGGGGACCAGGAAGTGGAATTAACTGCTATATTAGCTGACCTTCATCTTGTTGTTTGTCCCAACCTGCCTGGCTGGGCCCCGGGCTGGCCCGTAACCACGGTCTCCGGGCCCAACAATGCGGGCATTTCCCTCTGCAAAAAAAAAAACACAGGCCTTCGGGGGTTTACTGAGCAAACAAGATGAGCCCTGCCAAAACGCTCCTCGCTCCC